GAATGATAACTTTTGCCTGGGAGATGACATCGGTCGATGGAAAGATACGCCAATTGCCGAAGGCAGAGGGACGGGCGGCGCGCGCTGCGCTGCGCCACCTGCGCGAATCTCAAGACAGCATGTACGGCAGCTTTTATGCGCGCCATTGCGCCTTCCTTGAGCGACACGATAACAACCCCACGCCTGAACAAGTTCGCTGCCCCCTCCGATTTATTGAGGAACCGGGCCTCGAGAATGCCTTATGGCCGCACTTGTACTGGTCCTTCGACATGTGCGATCTTACGAGCGCCTGAATGCGCGCCGCTTGCAACATCTGGCGCAGGAAGCAGACGCAGAAGATCCTGCCGCTGACGAGGACGCTGACGAACGCCGCCACTGCATCAAGCGGTCCTTTCATTGCAAGCTGCTCAGCCCCTTACTGGGGTACGGTTCTGACTTCGAGCTACTGCAGTATGTCTACGACCTCCATTTGTGGACAGACCTCGGCAGCAAGCGCAACGCTGCCAATGGCACGGCCATGCGCCTCATGATGCGTGGCCATCCGATGTCACCGCTCTACTGGATGGACATTAAGCATGGCCTGCATGACCTCGTCCGCCAGCTGGGATACCCGCATCTTTACTGGACGCTTGCGCCGTACGAACGGAGCTTTCCATACCACACGTACTTGCTTGATGAAATGCAGAAGCTCCTGCGCGAGCGTATGCGACTCCCGGCGTTGGAAACCATGCATCTTACTCACGTGATGCTGCAAGTCGCCCGCGGCTTGCTAGCCGGACGGGGGCGACATCGAGGTGTCGCGTGGACACAACATCTCCTAGGAAAGGACCAGGGGCCCAACGGGGTGCACTTTTTCACCCGGGTCGAATTTCAGGATGGGTCTAAGAAGCCTGGAACGCAGCAGTACCATGGATCTGGGCGACCCCACATACACTGTTTGTTCTGGCTTCGCGACCCTGGCGCTGCTGACCTGGCGTCCGTGGCTGCTGCAACCGAAGACTTGCCGGCAGCGGAGGAAAACTTGGCAGCATTTGTGCGCGGCTCGCAGCGCGATGCTTCCGGCGAGAGTCGTTGGCCGGTCCGGAACGAAGACTCAGCCTTCGATGCTCTGGACGGTCAACTACGGTTGCACCACACAGACGACGACGCTGCCCACGGGGTGCGGGGATACTTTCCTGACATTTTAGACGCACTACGCTGCCATCAAGACTTGCAGGCAAAGCAGGGACGGGGCCTGCTGCTGGCATATGTGGCCAAGTATGTGGCAAAATGGTCAGACTCCTCCTACGACGAGTGGATGTCGGACGCAGCCAGCGTCACCAGTCTTTGTCGAAAAGTACTCTTCGAGTACCATCCGCTAGAGCCGGAGATGACACTCCAGCTGTCCCAAGCGCTCTTTCGACCTTGGGAGTTCGGGACAGTGAACTCGGGACGTCGGTCCTTAAGAGCTCCACACCCGTCGGAGCGGTCTGAGGACCAGCCGCTCTTCGTCCGCCAGTACATGGCCAGCACACGGCGCAGCGACCGGATGTCTCTGCTCGAGTTTCTGCGAAAGTCCAGCGCCACTGGCGACATTGCCGGGTGGCTGCGTGAAAAGCACCGGCAGGAGCAGCAGCGCGGAGACTCGACGTCGCTTCACAACTTTGCTGAGAACTACGCGATGCAGGGAGAGCAGATCGTGGCCACGGACTACCTATGGCGGCTTAACGATCGTTACTTTGGCCAATGGTGCATGATGAACCTGCCTTTTCGTACGATGGCTTACTTTGCGGATGTGGCCGGGATCGAGAAGGTGCCGGCGCGCTATCGGTGGTTCGCCACGGCCCTTGTGCTTACGGACAACATGACCTGCGCGCCCCTACGCGGTTACTGGCGCGAGCCCAGCAACCTGGCCAACGACATGCAGCTGGAGGGTAAGCCAACTGCAGTGATTGAGGACGTGCAAAAGTTTGTCGAAAGCCTTACNNTACCTGTCTGGTCACGTCAGCAGAGCGGAGGAGGACGCCGTGCTGCTGCAAGGGAACGGGGATGAGAGCGGGAGCGGCGAGGCGCTTCGGGGGGAGTCGTTTGCATTCGAAGGCAAGCAACTGCTGCTGTTCAACTTGATCCGCGCTCGCACTGCCACTTCTATGGAAGCACAGAACGCAACGGAAGACGTGCAAATAGAGCAGGCCCGGGCACGACTCCAGGGAGTCGAGCATCGCCCACTGATCTGTTCTGGGAAACCAGGCACTGGAAAGACGACCGTCGCGTTGGAC